AGAAAGAAAGAAAGAAAGAAAGAAAGAAAGAAAGAAAGAAAGAAAGAAAGAAAGAAAAGGGGAGGAAGAAAGAAAAAGAAAGAGAGAAAAGAAACAAAATCCAGTTTCAGTGATAAAATAGGCCAAGTATAATTCCTCCTTTACTAACCTCTGACACCATTTTCTGACATTGACTTAGGCAATAATATCCCAGATAAATACCACGTGGCCCAAGTACCACATACGTCACCTTCACAAGCCATAGCCACCACTCAATGTGTAGCTGTTATCCAATGACAACTCCATATAGTAACATACATAAATTTTACCCACCAGTGCTCTGGGAGATGTCAACCCCAAACTGTATTGCTTCAACAAGCATATGTTGGACACCCACCATGTGCTAAGTGCTGGGGTTACAGCAGAAAACAAGACCGCCAAAGTTTCTGCTGTCATGGAATTTACAACCTGGTAGGGACAATGGACGATGGACTTGTAGCAAACAAATAATTTCAAAGAGTGAAGAGTTAATATGAAGAAAATAAAAGGGAGGGCAGTGCTACTTTTAGATGGGGCATCTAGGAAGCCCTCTCTGAAGAGGCGACATTTGATCTGAAACCTGACGTTTGTGAAGGAGCCCGCCATGGGCAGAACTGGGGGTGATGCATACCAGTCAGGGAAATAGCAAGTTCAAAGACGCTGAGACAGCAGCATTCTTGGCATGCTCAAGGAATGGCATTCTTACCAGTTTTGCTGGAGATGAGTGAGGGGGCAAGTGACAGGATATGAGGTTAGAGAAGGAAGCAGGGGCCAGATTATACAGTCTTCTCCTGTGAGTTGTGGGAAGGAGTTTGGATTTGAAGAATAAACGGAAGCCTTTGAGATGCCATATGATTTATGCTCTGACAAATTGCTATGATCACTGTTATCCAATCAGAACTGTCATGTGTAAAGGTGAGGTCTGGCTCCTCCCAGGGTCACTATCCCAATACTAGGGAGGGCAGCTCCTCTTTCAAGAAGCCTCCTTGAAAACTCACGGGTGACCCACCTACTTCCAACCACGGTCTACAGTCTATCTGGTGGGACAAATACGGGCTCAGGATTCTGGCCCCCTTAGGACCGGTCGGGCGGAGCCCATTTGTGATTGGTTACAAGCTCTCCCACTCTTCCAATCAGACGCTACTCGGGAGGAGTGCCAACATCCCGTTCCCCATGCGAGATGAGTGGGCCATTTGATTGGCTCTTCCCCTAAGAGTGACAGCAGACAAAGCCTATGGGTGCAAAGGCACGGCTGCTCCGCCCCGCGCTTCCAAGGTGCGCCGCCGGATCCTGCCAGTGCTGGTCCTGCTGCTTGCGCTGTCTCTTCGTCCCTATGGCCGTCCCGCCGCAGCTACGGGCTCTGCTCCTTGCGGTCAACGCACTGTTGCGCAAGCGCCGCTACCACGCTGCGTTGGCCATGCTTAAGGGCTTCCGGAACGGGGCAGTGTGAGTGGGGCGGTCGGGCCGGGCCCGGGCTGAAGGGTGGGTCCGGCTGGGGTCGGAGGAGTGGATTCTGGGCCCACCGCAACGCCGTGTGCCCTTGAGCAGCCTCCCTAGGCCTCGGTCTACCGAGGTGTCCAGCACGGTGGGCGCTGGATTTGGGGTTCCGTGAGCCTTCTGAGCTGGGGCTCCCATTAAGCTGTTTTGGGGCTCTACATGCTTTGCAACCTGGCCCACTTGCCTTGACCACCTCCCACGCCAGCCCTTGTATCCCCTCGTTTGACCCACCCCTCCCCACACCACCCCCCATACCCCGCTATGTGTCCTTGGGTCTGCCTGGCTTCAGCGGTCCCATCTGCACAGTGAGAAGTGGCCACTGGCCTCTAGCAGGCCAGCGGTGCCTTCTGCCTATGCTCCCACCATTAAGGAGCCCATGGGCTCATATCCCACTTCTCACTTCTTATCTGTATGACTCTAGCGCCAAGTCCCCATCCTGCCCAGGGAACTCCTAAGGCATAAGCCTGAGGAGTAAGAACAACTGTGAAAGAAGCTGCAGATATTTGCTCGACATTGAATTGATTCCACCCTGGCCATCAGATCTGCTGGAAAGGAGGTCTTGGGTTCATTTCACCTGGCTGGTAACTGGAGGGGAGCTCCCCCTCCTTTAAAACTCATGCATAACTGTTGTCATTTATTGAGAGTGTACTGTGCCAGAACTGGGGACACAACAGAAAAAACCAAAGATTTGTTCTCCTGGAGTTGGCATGCTAGTGGCATCATGGCATGGTGGTGAGACTGCCTTTGTTCAAATCTTGGTGCCACCGACCTGTGTGATCTGGAGCAAGTCATTTAGCCTCTCTAAGCCTCAATTTCTATAAAATGGGGACGATAATAATACTTAACATCATACTGTCAGAGGATTGAATCAGTGTATGTGAAATGCTCAGCACAGTGCCTGGTATATATATCTGTTGGCTGGTGTGTGTGTGTGTGTGTGTGTGTGTGTGTGTGTGTGTGTATACAAGGACGTCTGCCTAGATCACACCGTCACCTTTTCAGGTCTCTGCTTAAGTGTCACCTTCTCAATAAGGTCGTCTCTGAACTCCTCACTTCCTCGCATACTTACGTTTTCTCCATACTACTTGTCACCATCTGACACTAAGTTCACCTATGTATCCTGTTTTTATATTCTGTCTTTCTCACTAGAAAGTGGGCTTCATAGGGACAGAAATATTTATCTACTTTGTTCCTTGGTGTATTCCTAGTACATGGTACATAGGATACTCTCAAACATTTTCTGAATGCATGTACGAGTGTACAGGGTAGGAATTGCAATTGTCCCCATTTTCCAAATGAGAAGACTAGCTCAGAAAGGTAAACTCATTACTTACGGTCACATCACTTGGCCAGTGTCACAGCCAGGATTCAAACACAGAGGTGCCTGATCCCAATGCCAGGCTCTTGGCTTCTCTGGAAACCCAGAGTCAGGTGGAATTGGTACCTGTTGGGCCTGAAGGTTTTATCAGCCATGCTGAGGGGTGACTAAGATGGGATAATATAAGTGGCCCTTTGCCAAGTTATTCTCAGGACAAAGCAGCAATGGGCATTGCCCAATGCTAGCTTTGTGTATCTACTTTCAACCCAGTTGTTCCTGTTGTCTCAGCCTTCCCAGCCAGGGCAGGCACTTGCTAAGATCAGGCCCTTCTCAGGCCTAGTTCCTTTATTTCAAAGCTGGGTGCCTTCATCTCTTCTGGCCTCAGTTTCCTTCTCTGTAAAATGGAAACAGCCTCACTCAAACGGAGTGATCTAAGGCAGTGATCCCATTACTGTTTAGTGCTAAGGCACCATGCCCATCTGTAAGGACCAAGAGTTCAAGGTCCTAATGAGATTCATCATTAAAGTACCATGGCAGTGCCCGGAATGCTTTACACAGGAGATGATGGTGACGTTTTGAAGGCCGAGTTAGAATTTTCCAGGAGGAGAAGGGCATCCCAACCAGAGGGAATGGTTTGAACAAAGGCCTGGAGGGGGAAAAGAATATGCGGTTTGTGCAGAGACGCTATCCATTCAGGGAGGCAGTCTTGGACGACTAAGACATATAAGCTTTGTAAAATTGAACTCGCTGTGATTTCTACTCCTCAATATGTCAGTGTGCATCTCTAAAAATTAGAGCATTTTCCTATATGGCTAATTATCATGATTATACTTAATAAATTAATAATAATCTATAGTGTTGACTACTGTCCAGTTAATAGTCAAATTGTCCTGGCTGTCCCCTAAATGTCCTCCCTAAATGTTAGTTTGCTGAGACCAGGCTCTTCCTGGACATCATGTTGAACCTGTCATTATGTCCTGTAATTCCTTTCAAACCCCAGGCACCCCCCTTTTTCAGGACATAGAGTAATCCTGTGAATGATAGTAACTGGCTCCCACCTGAGTTTGAGGGCTTTGGGAATGAGGCCTGGCAGATATACGTAGGTGGGGGCACTATTCCACTTATGTCTGGGGTATAAGCAAGGGCCCTTTTCACCCTGGTGAGCTGGAGGAGGCTGAGGGCCTCTTTGTTCAAGGGAAAGAGACATGGCTTTGGATGAGGTGTGGCAGAGAGCTTGCTGTGGCCAAGATGGGGGCCCTGCCCACTGCTAGGCAGGAGACAAGCAATTCAGCATGGCCATCGCAACGATAACACTGGCTTCAACTTGTTAACATTTACAAATTTAATTTATATATATGTATATATATTTTAATTTTTAATGTTTATTAATTTTTTGAGAGAGAGAGAGAGAGAGAGAGAGTGAACAGGGGAGGAGCAGAGAGATAGGAGGACAGAATCAGAAGCAGGCTTCAGGCTCTGAGCTGTCAGCACAGAGCCTGACACGGGGCTTGAACTCAAAAGCTGCAAGATCATGACCTGAGCTGAAGTCGGATGCTTAACTGACTGAGCCACCCAGGTACCCCTATATTTTAAAAATTAGGTAACGTTAGGGGTGCCTGTCTGGTTCAGTTGGTAGAGCATAAGACTCTTGATCTTGGGGTTGTAAGTTTGAGCCCCGCACTGGGTGTAGAGATCACTTAATAGTAAAATCTTTTTTAAAAATTAGGTAACTTTCGGGGCGCCTGGGTGGCTCAATCGGTTAAGAGTCCAACTCTTAGTTTCGGCTCAGGTCATGATCTCACGGTGTGTGAATTCGAACCCCACATCAGGCTCCATGCTGACAGCGCAGAGCCTGCTTGGGATTCTCTCTCTCTCCCTCTCTCTCTGCCCCTCCCCCACTCACTCTGTCTCTCTCTCAAAAAAACAAATAAATAAAACTTAAAAAAAAATTTTTTTTAATTACATAACTTTCAGAAAAGGCATAAAAAATTCGATGATATGCCTGGCTGGCTCAGTCAGTGGAGCATGAGACTCTTGGTCTCAGGGTTGTGAATTCAAGGCCCACATTGGGCGTGGAGCCTACTTAAAAAAAAAAGGTAGATGCTATGAAGGCCTGCTCACCCCATTCTTCTATCACTCAGTCTCCCTCCCTGGAGGTGACACCTATATCCAGTCTCATGTCTCCCTCCAGAAGTATTCTCTGCATGTACAAACAAATACATATATTTCCCCCACACACATTTAAGACAAGTTTTCTTTTTTATTTTATTATTTAAAAAATATATTTATTTATTTTTGAGAGCGCAGGCAGGGGAGGGGAAGGGAGAGGGGAACAGGAGATCTGAAGTGGAGTCTATGCTGACAGCAGCTAGCCCAGTGTGGGGCTTGAACTCAGGAATCACGAGATCGTGACCTGATCTGAAGTTAGATGCTCAACCAACTGAGCCACCCAGGTGCCCCAAGACAAGTTTTATTTTGAAATAATTTTAGATTTATGGAAGAATTACCTCGTTTGATGCAACTTTATATTTTACACATCTTGCTCTAATATATCCTGCAGTGCACATAAAGCTGCCTCCGTCTTTTACATCTGTGTAGTATTCCACTCAGTGGTGGGACCATTGTTTATTTATCCAGAAGCTCCCTGTGGATGGACATGGGTTCGCTTCCAGTCTTTTGCTGTTTCTAACAAGCCTGTGGTGAACAGTCACAGATACTCATATGACAATATGTAGTCATGGTCATTGTGCCAAGGATTTTTAGACCTTGTAGCTTAGTAAGATCAGGGCCTGGCAGCTGGAGAACTTGGTGGGATAAGAGGGAGTCCAGTCAAGAACAAGAAGGAAGAGACTAGAACTTTCACATGTGCTACGTCCTTAACTGCCAGAAGCAAGTCTGAAATGGAGAATACTTTTTACTGATGGGAGAAGAGAGGCTCAGAGAGGTTAAGTAACTTATCCAAGTTCACACAGTAAAACGTGGCAGGGCTTTGGCACCAAATACTACAGTATTTCTTTTCTACTACCCACTTGAATATAGTTAAAACAGAGGGGGCACCTCGCTGGCTCAGTGAGTGAAACATGCAACTCCAATCTTGGGGTTGTGAGTTTGAGCCCCATGTTGGGTGTGATTGTTTAAAAATAAAATCTTTAAAAAATAAATGAAAAACAATGAGGATGAAAGTATTCATGTTCACACAATCCCCAGTGCTCAAATGAGGAAGTACAAGGAGGGTCAGGGGAAGAGGTTTGAGTCTTAAAAAGAGGCCTTTATGTAACTTATAAAATTTATTTCGGCATGCCTGGCTGGCTCAGTACATAGCACGTGTGTCTCTTGATCTCAGGGTCATGGGCTCAAGAAGCCCCACATTGGGCATGGAGCCTACTTTAAAAAAAAATGTTTATTCCAATTGCTTTAATTTTAAAAGCAATGCTTAATCATTATAGATCATTTTGGAAGTATAGAAAAGTTAAAAGATAAAAGTAAATTCGCATACTTCTCCAGCTCTGGGGACATTGCTAATATTGTGGCATATTTCTTTCCAGTGTTTTTTATTTTTTAAATCCAGTTTTACAAAGCTCAGGTCCTCCTGTCTATAATAGTTGGAAAGAGGTGTATTTTGAACAGGTAGAAGGAATTATATTACTCAGCAACTATCTTAGGGAACTTATTAACTTTAAGATAAACCAAGCTGAAGATAGAACCTTCTAGAAATTACCTTCCCTCACAGATAATTAAAGGTTGTTCCAGAATCAGTCAGCCATTATGTACTAAGCACATGCTATATGTTAAGTACCATGCAAGGTGCTGGGGACTCTGTGGAGGACAAATCAAACACAGTCCCTCATGAAGCCCACAGTCTAGTGGAAGAAAGAGATAATTATAATAGAATAAGTAGTTATGAGAAATTGAATCATTAACCCAGGAGTGTAGAGTACCACAGAGAAGCTTGGGGCTCTGCGGCAATGCAAATATTACCCTAACCTAGGCTGTTGTGTAAGAAGCCTCCACAGAGGCCCCAGCTGAGACTGGAGAGCTGAGGAAGCAGTGGCTACGTGAGAAGTAAAGGACAGTCTGGGCAGAGGGAACAGCCTGCCCAGAGGCAGGGGAGAAACTGGCAGTCCAAAGACCTACAGGAAGGCCAGGGGGGGTTGGATGGAGCAGGAGAAATAGGGGGCAAGAGGTAGGAGAAGTAAGCAGGGACCACATCTTGCAGCACTTTCAAGGCTGTGGGAAGAGCCCAGATTTTATTCTGTGAGTAGGGGAAAGGTATTGGCGGCTTTTAAATTGGGATGTGATATGATTTATGCTTTAAAAAAAAATGACTCTGGCTGCAATGGTAAGTCAGTGTGGAACTGAGGGAGCAACTCCACACAGCCAGGTGGGTGAGGCTGGTGGAGGCCTTTGACACACATGGTCCCCTTTCATTGGAATTATAACCAGCCCTCTACGCTGACATCCCCTTTTACTGTTAGGCAAACTGAGGCTCAGAGAAGTTAAATAACAAGCCCGAGGCCACACTACCAAGAAGGTGTTAGGACTGGGATTTCAACCCAGATCTAACCTGAAAGCCAGCATTATCTCCCCTTCCAGGACGATGTTAGGATTAGGCTTGGAGAGGGGGCGAGGAGTCAGATTGCCCAGGGAGACTCTGTGAGGCAGTGACGCCATAGTAACTGTTTCCTTTCATTTCTGCAGCTACGGAGTCAAAGTCCGGGCCCCTCACGCGCTGGTCATGACCTTTCTCTTCCGGAGTGGCAGGTACCCACCCCCTCCTCAAACTGGGAGAGAGTATGTTCAGCCCTCAGTACCAGGGCGGTTGCACTAGCTTCCTAGCTAGGTCTAGCCTATCCCCCATCACCACCATCTCAAGTACGAGTCTGATCTATTATTGCTGCTCAAAAACTCCCCCGGCTCCCACGATCCTCCAGAGAAACCCAACTTCCTTCCTTAAAAGCCCCTCTGCAACTAACCACGAGGAGCACTGGATGATGTATGGGATTGTTGAATCACTACATTGTACACCTGAAATGAAGATAACAGTGTATATTAAGTATACTGGTAACTTAAAAAAACTTTAAGATAACTTTAAAAAAAAGGCCCCCCGGCTGCCTGGTCTCAGCTGCATCCCCACACTGTTCCCCTACATCCAGCCTGCAGTGCCCTTGGCACATAGGACTCGCTGCCATGCCACATGTGGTTCCACCTCCACACGTTTACTTATACAACACCCCCTGCCGGGCATGCTCTTTCCTCTTCTGCCCTACCTTTATTTCCTTCCTGGCAACCAATACCAATTTTATGAGGGTTACTTCCTTGGGAAAACTGTCTATGACCTCCCTCCCTTACTCAAACTTCTTGGTCTTCCTCCAACCCCCGTGACTTTCCCCTCATTGCACTTCTCAGAAACTACTCTGTGGCCTCGTTTTTAATGCTGAGATTTATTTGGCCACGGGTCCTCCTTGGGTGAACCATTGCTTTTTTTCTTTTTAAAGTTTATTTATTTATTTTGAGAGAGAGAGGGAGCGTGCATGAGCAGGGGAGAGGCAGAGAGAGAGGGAGGGAGAGAGAGAATCCTAAACAGGCTCCATGCTCTCAGCGCAGAGCCCAATGTGAGGCTCAAACTCATAAACCGTGATATCTTGACCTGAGCCGAAACTAGGAGTCAGACACTTAGCTAACTAAGCGTCTGTGGCCTGGTTTTTTTTTTTTTAACTTTTTTTTTTTTTAACGTTTATTTATTTTTGAGACAGAGAGAGACAGAGCATGAACAGAGGAGGGTCAGAGAGAGGGAGACACAGAATCTGAAACAGGCTCCAGGCTCTGAGCTGTCAGCACAGAGCCCGACGCGGGGCTCGAACTCACAGACCGTGAGATCATGACCTGAGCCGAAGTCTGCCACTTAACCGACTGAGCCACCCAGGCGCCCCTGTGGCCTGGTTTTTAATGTATGTAGCTTCACCTAGAGCTTAGAAGAAGTACACATGGACAGCCTATTGGCCAAATCCAGCTCGCAAGATTTTCCCTTTTTTGTATTTTTTTAGGGTTGCTCTTTTCTTTCTTTTTTTAAGTAAGCTCTATACCCATCATGGGGCTCGAATTCACACCTCTTGTATTTTTGCTTTATTTATTGATTCGCTGATTTTAGTTTTGGTTTTTGCCCTCTGTTTTCTTAAAATTGAACTCATTCTTTCAAACAGTAAATATTTATTGAACATCTATTATGTGCCAGACACCATTTTAGGTGCTAGGGATAGAGGAGCGAACAAAGCAGTCAGTGATCAAGAGGAACAATGCTGGTGGCCCAGACATTGGTGGTGGCAGTGTAGGGTGAGAGGAAAGTGGTCAGACTCTCGAAACATTTTGAAGGCAAGATTAGCACCAACACTTGATAGCTGGGAAATCCAGCTTTCTTGCATTAATGCCTGGCTGGCACAGTCACTATAGCATGTGACTCTTGATCTCGAGGTCATGAGTTTCAGCCCCATGTTGGGCATAGAGTTTACTCAAAAAAAAAAAAAAAAAAGATTAAGAACTGGCAACACGGGGCTTGTGTTCCTGTGAGGCGAGAGCCAACTGACTCCTGGCTGTCCCCACTCACCTGGCCGATTTCCACAGGTTCCAGTTGACCCACTTCAAGGTCCTTATCTAGCCTCTAGGTTGGTTGTGTCATCCTTGAATTGACTCCCAGAGTACACTCTGCCCTTGTCCTTGTGTTCTCCTCACTGCCCCCTAGTGACTTAATTTTAAAAGATAAATAGAATCCTTTCCCTACTTAAATGTGTACTTTTCTCAGGATAAAGACAGAAGAGCATGGCCCTTCCTCTCCCCACATCATTTCCCCTCATATTCTTTGCTCAGGCCTTGATGGCTTCTCTCTGTCCCTTTACTCCTTACTCTCTGTCCCTCCTCCAAACCTTTGCATGTGCTGATCCCTCTGCCTGGATGCAAATCCTCTCCCCTCTCGACTTCATTGACACCTCATCAATCCTTCAGATCCCAGGATCATCTCTGGTCAAGTCGAAATTTGACCCTTGCTTCGTGATTATTTATGTTCTCCCTTTAGATCATATATCTTATGAAGGCAGCAAGCACTTTCCCTCAGAATCGTATCCCCAGCTCCAGTACATAGTAGGCTCTCCCTTACTCTCTCATTCATGTCTTCACAGCTCACTCCAAAAAAACACGTATTGAGTACCTACTATGTGCCAGGCTCTGTTCAGATGTAGACACCACTCTTCAGTAGCTTGCACTGGAGTGGGGTGGGAGTGGGGAGAAATAATAAACAAGCATATAAGTGTCAGCTGGTGTAAGAGCTGTGAAGGAAAAGAGGACAGGATATGATGGGCATTCTTTTGAGTCGGGTGGTCAGGCAAGGGCCCTCTGAGGAAGTGGCATGGAGTCAAGGCCTGAATCCAAAGGGACAGCAGCCCCCACGACATGGAAGCTAGAGGCCTGGGGCTGAAAGAGCAGTGGCCGTGAGCTCCTCGCCTGGTTCACATTTGCACGCCCAGTGAGTGAACGTGGAACAGTGGGCCTGTGCTCATGGGGGCTCCCTGTGTTTGTGCAGCCTCCAGGAGAAGCTGCGGGCCATCCTGCAGGCCACGTACACCCACTCCTGGAACCTGGCCTGCTTTGTGTTCGCCTATAAGGGGCTCTGTGCCCTGCAGTCCCACGTGCAGGGCGAGACCTACCAGGTGCACTCGTTCCTGGCTGCCTTCATCGGGGCCTTGCTGGTGTTTAGAGATAACAATAACATCAACAGTCAGGTAAAGACCCTGCCCCAGGATAGGGGTTGGGCTGCGGGTGGGGTGGGGGGTGGGAGGGACGTGGTCCAGGTAGAGGTCAAAGAGGTAGAGGTCCGAGGGTCTGTGATTCACCAGTCCCTGTGTGACCTTGGGAAGGTCACTTTCTCCTCAATTTCCTTATCTGTAAACCAAGCAAGCGGCTTGCTGAAATTCCGTCTTTCCCAAAACTCAGTGTGTGTGCTGTTTTCTGGAACAAAGATCTTTTTTTTTTTTAATCTAGAACGCTTCACAAATTTGTGTGTCATCCTTGCACAGGGGTCATGCTAATCTCTATATTGTTCAATTTTAGTAGATGTGCTGCCGAAGCGAGCACTGGAGCAAAGATTGAAAAACAAAAAACCAAAAAACACTGTGCAGTGAAATGAGGAAAAAAAAAAAAACACACACACACCACCACTCTGGGGGCACCTGGCTGGCTCAGTCAGTAGAGCATATGACTCTTGATCATGGGTCATGAGTTCAAGCCCCACATTGGGTGTAGAGCTTACTTAAAAAAAAAAAAAAAAAAAGGCTACCACACACCTGGGGGGCTCAGTTGGTTAGTCATCTGACTTCAGCTCAGGTCATGATCTCACCATTTGTGAGTTGGAGCCCCGTGTCGGGCTCTGTGCTGACAGTGTAGAGCCTGGAGCCTGCTTCAGATTCTGTGTCTCCCTCTCTCTCTGTCCCTCCCCTGCTTGTACACTGTCTCTGTCTCTCTCAAAAATAAACAGTAAAAGAAAAAAATTTAAATTGGCCTGGAGTAAGATATTCATAAAACATAACTTATTTAAAAAAAAAAAATTTTTTTTTTTTTTTTACATTTATTGTTGAGAGAGACAGAGAGACAGAGCATAAGTGGGAGAGAGGCAGAGAGAGAGGCAGACACAGGATCTGAAGCCGGCTCCAGGCTCTGAGCTGTCAGCACAGAGCCTGCCACGGGGCTCAAACTCACAAACCGTGAGATCATGTCCTGAGCTGAAGTCGGGCACTTAACTGACTGATCCACCCAGGCACCCCATAAAACATAACTTATTAACCGGCTGATCCACCCAGGCTCCCCATAAAACATAACTTATTACACTCGAAGAATGATCTATTCTTTAACTTGTCCTTTTTCTAGGTTAAAATCCTTTTTTTCTTCTTCTTTTTTTTGTGAAATGAAATGCTAGTTATTGTTTTAAGTCCTTTTTGGTCATCGTGAAAAGTTGGCAGACCCTCTTTTTGCCTCCCTCAAATTTATTAAATACTTTCAAATTATAAAACGTTTTATTTTCACATTTTAAAAAATGCAGACTAAGCACCCCTGTGTGCCTGGCATACTCCTAGGTGCTTGGGGTATGGTCACAATAAAACTAGAAAATAAATTGAAAAGGGGCACCTGGGTGGCTCAGTCAGTTAAGCGTCTGACGCTTGATTTCGTTTCAGGTCATAATCTCACTGTTGGTGAGACATGAGATCGAGCCCACATCTGACAGGGCAGAGCCTGCTTGGGATTCTGTCTCCCTCCCTCTTTTCTTCCCCTCCCCATTTGTGCGTGTGCGTATGCTCTCTCTCTTTCAAAATAAATAAACTTAAAAAAAAAAAAAGGATTTAAAAGAAAGTTTCCACCCCCTGCTAATTGTCCAGCCACTGTCCATGAACACTTCAACTGTGTCTTGTGTGCTCTTCAGAAATTGTCTGTGCTTGTGTCTGAACATATCAGGAGTTTTCCTCCAATGAGATCACACCACACTTTTTCTTCACAGAATGATGTATTTTGGAAACCTTTCTTGTCAATCCCTCATTCTTTTTAACATCAGCAAAGTTCTCCATTGGGTGGATAGACCAGGCTTGATTTTCCCAGTCTCCTCTGGATGGACAAGGGGGTCTCTAGCCTTTTGCCAGTACACACACATTGCAGTCTGCGTCTTTGGGCGTTTGTCTGTCAATCCATCTGAAATTTCCTCAACATGGGATTGTGGAGTCTGTGGATATGAGCATTTTGTATTTTGAGAAAATTTCCCCAGTTTTTGTTGTTGTTAGAAATGTCACTGGTCTGGGACGCCTGGGTGGCTCAGTTGGTTAAGTGTCCAGCTCTTGATTTTTTTTTTTTTAATTTTTTTTTTTCAATGTTTATTTATTTTTGGGACAGGGAGAGACAGAGCATGAACGGGGGAGGGGCAGAGAGAGAGGGAGACACAGAATCGGAAACAGGCTCCAGGCTCCGAGCCATCAGCCCAGAGCCCGACGCGGGGCCCAAACTCATGGACCGCGAGATCGCGACCTGGCTGAAGTCGGACGCCCAACCGACTGCGCCACCCAGGCGCCCCCCCAGCTCTTGATTTTAGCTCAGGTCATGATCTCAGATTTTGTGAGCTTGAGCCCTGCGTAGATCTCTGTACTGACAACATGGAGCCTGCTTGGGATTCTCTCTCTCCCTCTGTCTCTGTTTCTCGCCTGCTGTGTGGGTGCATACTCTCTCTCAAAAGAAATAAACTTAAAAAAAATAAATAAAAGAAATGGCACTGGTTTATGAACTTCTAAGGCCTAGGAATCCTAGTCACACCATCTTCTTATCCCTCCTTTCCCCTGACCCCTCTGACCTCCATTTCTGAAATTTTGTCATTTCAAAAATGTTCTAGAAGTAGAGTCATTGCTGTATGTAACCTTTGAGGATTGACTTTTTTTTTTAAGTTTATTTATTTTTTTGAGAGAGCTCACGCACATGGAGACATGCGATTAGGGGAGGGCAGAGAGGGAGGGAGAATCCTAAGCAGGCTCTTATGCTGATGGTGGGGCTCAAACCCACGAACTGTGAGATCATGACCTGAGCCAAAATCAAGAGTTGGTCGCGTAACCGACTGAGACATCCAGGTGCCCCTGCATGTTTAATTTTTTAAGAAGTTGCCAAACTGTTTTCTAGAGGACCGTACTATTTTACATTCCCATCAGGAATATACAAATGATCCATTTTCTCCACATCCGAGCCAGCATTGGTTGATCACATTTAAAAAAATTTTTTTTTTTCAACGTTTATTTATTTTTGGGACAGAGAGAGACAGAGCATGAATGGGGGAGGGGCAGAGAGAGAGGGAGACACAGAATCAGAAACAGGCTCCAGGCTCTGAGCCATCAGCGCAGAGCCTGACGCGGGGCTCGAACTCACAGACCGCGAGATCGTGACCTGGCTGAAGTCGGACGCTTAACCGACTGCGCCACCCAGGCGCCCCGGTTGATCACATTTTTAATTTTAGCCATTCTGATAGGTGTCAGGGCTTCTCATTGCGGTTTTAATTTGCATTTTCCTAATGGCTAATGACGTTGAACATCTTTCCATGTCCTTATTTTCCATCTGTATAACCAGTTCAGTGAAGCATCTGTTCGCATCTTTTGCTTATTTTCTAATTGGATTGTTTCTTTTCTTTACCGTTGAGTTTTAAGAGGTTTTTTTTTTTTTTAAATATATTCCAGATACCAGTTTGTCAGATATGTGTTTGTGAATATTTTCTCTCACCTGTGGCTTTTCTTTTCAGGCTCTTCATAGGGGCTTTCACAATCAATTTTAAATTTCGATAAGATCCAACCTATTAATTGTGTGTGCGTGTGTGTGTGTGTGTGCATTGTATTTTTTGGTGTCAAGTTACCTTTTAGTTTTGAAACATGTAAATGTATTCATTTTCTAAATTTTTTTAAATGATTATTTTTGAGAGAGAGAGAGCACGAGCAGGGGAGGGGCAGAGAGAGAGGGAGACACAGAATCTGAAGCAGGCTCCAGGCTCTGAGCGGTCAGCACAGAGCCTGACGTGGGACTCGAACTCGGACCACAAGATCATGACCTGAGCCAAGGTCGGGCGCTCAACCAACTGAGCCACCCAGGTGCCCTATTTTCTAAAATTTTTAATTAACAAGAATGATAAATTAAGAAATGAATAGCAATGTTAAAATACCCGCTACATACTATTTCAAATCACCTTGCATACCAGCACACTGTTCCAGGGGCTGTTGGATGGCTTAGTCAGAAGAGCATGAGACTCTTGAACTCGGTTGGGGTCATAGGTTCAAGCCCTACATTGGGTGTAAAGATTACTAAAATTTAAAACTTTATTCTTTATTTATTTACTTTTCTAAATGTTTATTTATTTTGAGAGAGAGAGCATAAGCACAAGTGGGGGAGAGACAGTAAGAGAGAGGGAGAGAGAGAGAGAGAGAGAATCCCAAGCAGGCTCAGTGTTGTCAGCACAGAGCTTGACATGGGGCTCAATCCCATGAACCCGTGAGATCATGACCTAAGCCGAAACCAAGAGTCCGATGCCCAACAGACTGAACCACCCAGGCACCTCTAAATAAAGAAACTTAAAAAAAAAAAGAAAAACACTAGTCCACTGCACAGTAGGTGCCCCAGTGCATGTGTCAGGGGGAAAAGGTTCCCAGTGGCTGGGCCCTCCTGTAATCCTCTGTCATTCCCTTCCTGCAGATCAACATGTACCTGCTGTCACGACTCCTGTTTGCCCTGTGCCGCCTGGGCGTGGAGAAGGGCTACATTCCCGAACCCAGGTGGGACCCTTTCCCTTTGCTCACTGGGATAGTGTGGGGGCTGGTGCTGTGGCTCTTTGAGTACCACCAGCGCACTCTACAACCCTCACTGCAGTCCTCCATGACCTACCTGTATCAGGACAGCGATGTATGGCACGATATCTCAGACTTCCTCCTCTACAACAAAAGCCTTCCCTCAAAGTAACGTGCTCCCAAGGTGCTTATGGGGGCATCTGCACCCGAGATTGGCTCCATCGGTGAATCCTCCCAGTGGATCCTTCTTCTCAAGATCATGGTTCTCAGACTCCAGATTCTATTGTCCCAAGGTTCCATTTGCTGAAACAAAAGCACTGATTTCCAAGTCCCGTTAGGTACTCCCAAATGGTGGACCAAGTGGCGATTCGGGCTGTGGAGCCTTGGACACGATTCCAGCTCTGCTGCTGACTTCTGTGAGACCAGGGAAAGACACCCCCTCTGGGCATCAGAGGAGGGCCCCGAAGTCTCTTACTGGTGTGTACGGTCTTCAATCATTCTTAAGTAACGGAGTGCTCCTTGCTGGTGGGCAGTGGGTTGCAAATACGTTTTTAGAAAATATTATATTCCTTGCTCAGGTGTTCTAATGGAGAAGCTCTAGAATTCCACTGTCCAGTGGAAGCACAATGGGATCCATATATGTAATTAAAGCTTTTCTTAGTAGCCACATTAAAAAAAGTAGAAAGAAACAGGTGAGATTAATCTTAATTATATATTTAACCCAATATTTCTAAAATTTTATCATTTTAACATGTAATTAATATAAAAAGTAACAAGCTATTTTACATTCTTTTTTCTAGTACTATGTCATCAGAGTCACGTATGTGTTGTATGCTTATAGCATGCCTCAATTTGGGCCAGTCATTTTTCAAGTGCTCAGTCAGCCACATGTGGCTAGTGGCTACACAGATGTAGAACACTTCTGTCCTTACAGAAAATTCTAGTGGACAGTATGGATACAGAGCTGGGGATATGGGTTTGAGTCCCCACTCCACCACTATGTAACCTTGGGGAAGGTGCTTAACCTCTCTGAGCCTCAGTTTCCTGTAAAATGAGGATAATCATAAAACACAGCAGGTGTCCTCATTGGACTTGTATAACTACAACAGCTGCTATTACTACTAATTACTTCCATTTAGTGAGCTCCTACTTCCTCCCGGTGCTTTGCACATATTATTATTTTTTTTTTTTAATTATTTTTTTTTTTCAACGTTTGTTTATTTCTGGGACAGAGAGAGACAGAGCATGAACGGGGGAGGGGCAGAGAGAGAGGGAGACACAGAATCGGAAACAGGCTCCAGGCTCTGAGCCATCAGCCCAGAGCCTGACGCGGGGCTCGAACTCATGGACCGCGAGATCGTGACCTGGCTGAAGTCGGACGCCTAACCGACTGCGCCACCCAGGCGCCCCTGCACATATTATTTTTAATCCATGCAGTGACCTTGCAAGTATGTATTCTGATCCTCATTTCACAGATGTAGACACAGGATCAGAAAGGGGAAGAGTAACTTGCTGAAGGTAATACAACTAGTATGATGGCCAAATCAGGGTTTGAACCCAGACCTGTCTGAGTTCAAAGCCCATGGGTTTTTTTCAGTGCCTTATGTTAAATTTAGAAACCTAAGCTATGCAAACGTTAGCTGGTTATAGGATCGGTTCCAGGCCGGGGGTGCAAACTCAGGTGCCCACAGGGACCTGGCAAGGGGCATAAATGAAAATGTGCACTAGGGAGTGGTGGGGACACGGTCAACTGGAGACTCATGGGCCAGTCTGATTTTAAAAATCAGTGTGCTGGGTAAATCAAACAGGTCTCCAGGAAGATTTGGTCGATGGCCCACCAATTTGAGACCCTTGGTCTAGTAAGAATACTTCAGTCTCTTTTTATATTTTAGAAGTTACTAGTAGAAATGTGCACATGAGTCACTGGTGATCTTATTAAAATGTAGATTCTGACTCAGTGAGTTTGCGGTAGGGCCAGACGTTCTGCACTTCTCACAGGCTTCCAGGTGCCGCTGGTGGTGCTGCTGGTCTAAGCCATACCTTGAGTAACGAGGCAGTAGGGAATGATATGCAGCCAGCTATTATCCCTTGTTACAAGTGAGGAAACTGAGTCACAGAGCTGTTAGGTAATCATGGTGGCATCACATCTGATGCCAATAGCAGTGTTCTCAGCCATGGTGTTGTACTACACGTTTGGAGAAGGTGATCTGGAAGGTCTCTGAATTCACTCTGTGGAGGCTGAATGAGATCCCAAGGTTACGCGGGGGAGGGGGGTGGTCATCAGCAAGCAGATGCTGGGGGTGCTGCACCCATATCTCCTCCAACTTACCACTTCACCGCACACCAGCCAACTTTTCCACCTGCCACCCCTGTGTCTCTGCCTGAAGGCCCTCTCTTGTTACTGGCGTCTGCTCCGTCGCCCCACAGCAGGTCTGGAGGATTACCACATCCCAGGAGCAGCCCTCAACCAATGCCCCCCCCCCCCCCCATTATCACCGGGTGGGGTAACTCCGAGGCACATGCTCCACACTGGCTCCCAGAGTTCCCCAGCGGGACTGAACTTGGCTGCCCACAGTGGTCACTGGCTTGATAACACTCCCTTCTCTGTCTCCCTTCCTCATGCCCCTACGAGTACTTCCTGGGACCATTTCCCAAATAAACCACTTGCACTGAAATCCTTGTCTTGGGGTCTGCTATTGAGGAAACCCAAACTAAAATTGGCCTCCAGTGCAGCACGTTGAGAGTCCGTATAACATGCTGATTGGGGACAGCAAAAGCGCCTGGGCTCAGCCCTGTTTCCTTAGGCAAATGGCTTAACCATTCTGTACCTCTGTTTCTTCATCTGTAAAATATGCATTCTGATAGCACTCACCTCACAGGATGGCCTGGGGGATTAAACAACATGACGAATATAAAGTAAGCACTCAATAAATGTTTGCTGTTATTTCTAATATAGCATCCCAACGTAGGAGGAAGTGTGGTCCTAAGAACTGAGTCCCCCCCGCTTTTGGCCTGTCCCCCCCCCCCCCCACCAAGTTAAAGGTAGAGCCTTGGCTGTGTGCCTGCCTAGCATCCCCCCACTGCTGTGGGGGCCTGGCCGGCTACACCAGCGACTGTCTCTGCTCTCTAAGAATAGGTTTCCCTCACAGATGGCATCTCTCTGGATCCTGCCAGAGCATCTGGTGCCTCCAACTGCTCACTCCAGGGAGGAAGGCTGTGTGGTCCTTGCTGAGGAGCAGAGCTCTGGCTTCCAGCAGACCTGGGAGGAGTCCCCACTTGGCTCCCTCCTAGCCGAGCTTCCATTTCCTAAGATCCGTAAAATGAGCATTGCCAAAGGGCCCTTGGCACACAGTAGGCACTCTATAAATGCTACTTCCTGAAATAGTACAATGGTTTAATGTGTTTATTAAGGACCTGCCACATTCCTATGAAGTCTTCTGACACGTAAGACTATACAAAATAATTTTTCAGCAAAACTCACACAGTACAAAAGGTAGATCACAAGGAAAAATCAAGTTCCTTCGTACCCCCAAGCTCCACCCTCAAACCCTCTCTCTTGCCAGGGGCATTCACTGTTAGCACTTACTAGTACAGCCTTTCTGAGATATTCTGTACACAGCCACCTATCTTTGTCTTGTGAGAAACGTTTAAAAAAGATTTTATTTTTTTTTTCAACGTTTATTTATTTTTGGGACAGAGAGACAGAGCATGAACAGGGGAGGGGCAGAGGGAGAGGGAGACACAGAATCGGAAACAGGCTCCAGGCTCTAAGCCATCAGCCCAGAGCCCGACGCGGGGCTCGAACTCACGGACCGCGAGATCGTGACCTGGCTGAAGTCGGACGCTTAACCGACTGCGCCACCCAGGCGCCCCAAAAAAGATTTTATTTTTAAGTAATCTCCACACCCAACATGGGGCTCGAACTCACAACCCGAAGATCGAGAGTCACATGCTCCGTCGACTGAGCCATCCAGGCACTCCTGTCTTATGAGAAACTTTATATCACGCTGTCATCTCAACAAGTCTTTGGCATTTCTTCCTTGTCCTCTGCGTGTTCTGTTTCCCTTTGATCAATAATCTAATATGAAAGTGAGCCCTTTCTCTGAGCTGCTTCCCACCCCAACTCTACCCCATCACCCCCTCAGGCAGGCTGTTACTGTGATCAGTGTAAAGGTGAACCTCCCTAGATATCCAGATATTACCATCGGTGACACCCCACGTTCAGGCCGATGGAGCTCCCAGTGAAAGGGAAAGGACAAAACTGAGGTTAATTTGGGGCCTTCTCCTGCTCCACTTTCAAATTAGAGATGGGTCCGTGAGGCCCATGTGAGAGCAATGATTCATAGGCCAAGATGCCAAGAAACTGCCTCTTGTGACGCTCCCTGCTCCCTGCTCCCTTCTACGTCGCAGGCCCCAGAAAGAATTGTAGAGATGGTGTTTCTTTCTCCATCGTTTGCTCGGGTTTACAAGAATCAAGCTTTGAACCTGACGCTCTCCTAAACCAGAACATCGTGCTGCACGCATTCCACCCCCCAGAGCGAACCCCATGTTGCCACAATCTGTGACTTCAGCTGGGCTGCTTTCTTTAACGAATTAGAGGGTATTTATAAAAAGAAACGTTATTTCTTTTCCCCTCCCCTTGTCATGTTCCAGATGGATAGGGAAAGAGTGTGTCTTCCTTCAGCCCTGAAGAGCATTTGGGTAAGAGTGGTTTCGTTTTAATCGGAGAGTCTCCTGCAGGACTCGCTCATGAGCTACAGGCCGCAGGGGTCCAGGTGGACGACAGAGGGAAAGCTGGGCTCCCTTCTGGCATTGTTTTTAGAGACACTTCCTCATGGAGTGTTCCCTGCTTTCTGCACCAGGTCTCCGTGCCCAGAGCTTTGCAGGTGTCACGATTTCACAAACAAGACAGGAAAACAGGCAAAATGGAAATGTAGGTCATGGGGTCTCCATCCAAAACCTTGTTCCCATTGCTTTTCCAGGCTTCCTCTGTCAGACTGTCCTCACGGGCTGGATGTCAGCTGAGGGAAGGATCAGGGCCAGACCACATCAGCTCTTATGACTTTCCTTTTTAGGGGGTCTTTTTAATGTGTGTCATGAACCCCTTTGGCATCTGGTGAAGACTATGGACTCTTCTCAGAATGCTGTATTTAAACCCATTAAATAAAATACATAGGAGGGACGCCTGGGTGGCTCAATCGGTTGAGTGTGTGACTTTGGCTCGGGTCATCATATCATGGTTCCTGGGTTCGAGCCCCGTGTCAGGCTCTGCACTGGCAGCACAGAGCCTGCTTGGGATTCTTGCTCTCTCCTCTCTCTCTGCCCCTCCCCTGCTCACGCTTTCTGTCTATAAATAAATAAATAAATAAATAAATAAATAAATAAATAAATAAAGCTTTAAAAATAAATAAAATACATAGGATTATTGGGGTGCCTTGCTTGCTTAGTCAATGAAACATGTGACTCTTGATCTTGGGGTTGTGAGTTTGAACCCCACATTGGGTGTACAGATTACTTAAAAATAAAATCTTGGGGCACCTGGGTGGCTTAGTCAGTTGAGTGTCCGACTTTGGCTCAGGTCATGATCTCACAGTTTGTGAGTTCGAGCTCCGCATCCGACTAAGTGCTGTCAGCATGGAACCTGCCTCAGATCCTCTCTTCCCCTCTCTCTCTGCCCCTGCCCTGCTCGCTCTCTCTCTCTCAAAACTAAACATTAAAAAAATTATTTTTAGGGGCACCTGGGTGGCTCAGTCGGTTAAACGTCTGACTTCAGCTCAGGTCATGATCTCGCAGTCTGTGGGTTTGAGTTCCACATCGGGCTCTGTGCTGACAGTTCAGAGCCTGGAGCCTGCTTCAGATTTTGTGTCTTCCTCTCTCTCTACCCCTCTATTACTCATGCTCTCTCTCTGTCTCTCTCTCTCTCTCAAAAATAAACATTAAATTTTTTTAATCTTTTTAAATAAAATCTTAAAAAATAATAAAAATAAAATGCATAGGATTACAAAAGACAAGAATTATATTGACTATAGAGTTAATTATCAAAATATTTTTTAAATTTGTGATTTAGTATTATATGTTCTTTTTTTAGCACACTAAATAAATAGTAGCAGATCTAAAAGTGTCATGATTTCACAGGTGCATTAGGCATAAACAGTACCTCCAGATCCGGCAGCAGCTGTGACAGGGCACTGATGTAGTTGTGGTTTCTGTTGCTGGTAAAGTCCTGGTGCTGCTAATTTGCCTCTGGTCTGTTGCCTGCATGGAGTTGAAGGAGATGTTATATTGTAGTCAGAGGCTGGTGAATTAATAAATGTAACATTTTTTTTTCCTGTCCAAGTTGCTGGAACTTGGGTTCATGGGTCACAGATTCAGAACTTATGTTTGAGAGTGACCTCAGCCTGACCACATGGCAGCTGTCCTTAACCTAGCCCTGAACACGGGAATAATACAAATACTGGGTGATGTTGTCTGAGTCTCTGCCAGTACCAAGTACCTGGTGACATTGGACGCTAGGACTCGGCAATGGAAGAAGCCAGCTCCTGCTCACCGGGGGCTTAGAGTCAAGGGAGGGAAGGCTGGCACATGAATACACAAATAAGATAATTTTGGAGAGCAGTGGGTGCTCTGAAGTCAATAGCACAGGGCAGTGTAATAGAATGACGTGGAAAGGGAGAACAAGAGGGTCTGTTTTCCAGGGAAGGCCTCTCTGAGATCCACGGTGAGTAGAGAGCAGAGATACAGAGGAAGGGTGTTCCCAGCACAGGATCTGCAAAGTGTGCAGAGGAGGGAACCAGCTGAAAGCATTCCAGGGCCTGGCAGGAGGCCCGTGTGGCTGGGACAGAGTGCAGGGTGGGGGTGCGCTGGAGTGCTGGAGTGAGTGTTGGAGATGGAGGCTGAGAAGCTGGCTGGGCCCATCAGGCAGGCTTTGTGGGCAGAATAAGTGGTTTGGGTTTTCTTCTAAGTGTTACGGGCAGCCTCTGGCAAATTTTAGCAAGGGAGTGATATGATGCGATTTACATTTTGGAAAGATTCTTCTAGCTACAAGTGGAGAAGAGTGTAGGGGGGCAGGTTGGCAGTAAGGATCCAGTAAGGAAGTTACGTCATGGTCTGGGTGAGAGACCATGGCAGCCTGGACCAGGGTGGGGCTATGAGGTGGAGAGGAGTGGACAGATGTGGGATGTAATTTAGAGAGACTTTGTGGCCCAGGGCTGGGGGCGGGGGGAGCAAGAGGGGTATAGTGAATGACCCCCATGTTCCTCCTCCTTAGGCCTTGCCCCCCCACCTGAGAAAGGAAAGCCCTGACCTTGCCCCCCCCCACCCTTGCCTCCTCAGCCCCCTACAGCCCTGGGGCCCCTGGCATGCGGGCTTCCCAGCTGGCCCCAATTGTTGTTACTCCCCAGGGAGTCATGGGAACACACTCCCCCTGCCCCTTTCAGCCCCCTCTTCCCAGACAGGGCCAGGTCCTAACAATGCCCCCTCAGCCAGCCAGTGGCCTGGACACAATGCCCCTGATTCGGTTCATTGCCAGCTCTAGGAGGCCTGCTGGGTTTCCTGGCCTGTTTGGCATATATATAACTCTGGCTTCCAGCAGGGATTTTTTTTTTTTTTTTTTTTTTTAACAACAACAAAAATCCCTGGCTCCTCCTTTCTGAATATCTTAATATATTAGAAAAAGCTTTTCTCTTCCTATCCTGAGCCCTCCGTACTCCCCTCCCTAACCGCACTTGCCATGTGCCTGTCAACGCCCCCCCCCACCCCAGCCCCGACCAAATGCAGGTCAGCAGGTGTCAGCAAGAAAACGAGAGAAAGAAAGAAAAGCCGCTTGCTCCACCATGGCCAACCTCGAATGTGCTGGTGATGCTGAAGATCATGAGAAGAATCTGAGGGCTTGTGACATGGCAGGCATGGTGCCCAACGCGTTTTGTACACTAGATCTCACTACTTCTAAGACACCATCAAAGATGAGCTACAACATTATTTTGAGCCCCTGAGAAAGAAAGGAGCTACCAACGAAAAATTTAGGACAGGCCATTGATTGTATGATGCACCTCAGTTTCAGAGGTATTGAAATATGGGGGGGGGGGGGGGAGTCTTAGAATCCATGGAATTATGAGATCGCCTCATCTACACACCTTATTGCCCTCTGAACATATTTTTCTCCTTGTCTTTGTGCCTATCTGTGCCAACCAGAGTTTGGAGGGTAGTGCAGGGATTGCCTGATGAAAACTCTCCTAGTCTGCAGCCTCCCTAGAACGATTTTCCTTGCCTCCTTGAGAGGAGACGTAGGCAAGCTGCCTCAGTGATTCATCTTTCATTCCTAATAACAGCTGACATTTACTGGGCCCTCTCTCTGTGCCAGGTACTGTCCTAAGCACTTTAATGCCCCAACAGCCCTATCAGGTAAACACTATTTTTGTCATCCTCATTTTACACATGAAAAAAACAGAGCCCCTCCCCTCTAAGGGTCCGTTACTGACACTGCAGCTCTGGTCCGGGCAAGCACAGCTACTGTGTCTGTTTCCCCCCTCTCCTTGGAAAAGCATCATCCCTTCTCAGAGGTTGGAGATGATGTAGAGAATGGAAGTGACACTGGGTGAGCTTTGAAGGGAAGAGAGGTCCCCAGAGCCTGAGTTCAGTGGGTAGTAGGGTTTGGGGGAAGGGAGGATGGCTTATCAACCTGGGACCTGTCCACTTGCACTGTTGTACCTTGAACCCTCTGACCCACACCCTACTGAACTATGGACCGATGGATGGCCCAAGAACTTGGCCAAGGCCATCCAGCTGGGCAACTGTTGGCTGGGCAAGCCCCGTGTCTCCTGTTTCACCATGAATGCCCACTTTTTCTGCTCTTCCACACCCATGTCTTCTCTGCAAAACAGAGGGGCTGTGCAGGTGTTAGTTAGTTCCTCGATAGTAAGAATATCACTAATGCTAGTTAACATTTATTGGGCGCTTACTCTCTGCCAGGCACAGGCATCAGGGATTGCAAACTCAGATGGCAGGGCAAGTAAGGTCACTAGGTGAGGCAAGCCATACAGGGACTATGGTGGCCTAGAGGGTCAAGGCTCTGGTGAAATGGGGCTACAGCAATTGCTCAGCACTGTGATGGCATGGCTAGTGTTGCCAGATATTACGGTTTTAAAGGAAAGCCAGATATTTGAATTTTTATATAGCATTTTCCGGTTTAAGAAAATTTTAAACTAATTCACAATTCAGGAAAAAAAAAAAAAAAAAACCTGTGGGCAAATTAAACCATACCTGGGAGCCAGTTTGCAAATCTGCTTGTTTGCTTATTTAACCCGGACACCCATCCTATGAAGGAGCCTTTGCCCCTTTTTGTACAGATGGGGCAAGCTCTTTAAGAGCATAAATCATCTACTCAAGGTCATCTAGCTAAGCCACGTAGTTGGGGTCTGACTCCTGCAGCTTGCTCCTGTGTTTATGGCCTCTCAGATGGGTAAGAGGCCTGTGTTCAGACACAACCAGAACTGGCATGGTGACAGAACATCTCCAGGGACAGCAAACCGTCAGTCAGAGAATTCAGTGTAGCAGTGAGGGATCATTTGAGACAAATGTGATGTTGCAGACATAAAATTCCCCACCTCCCTCTGCCAGAACTCAACAATGGATGTCTCTGTGCCCCTTAATAAAATGTAGTCACCACAGAATCATTTCTCCCAATTAGGCACTCCTTATAATGATGGGATGTTCATGTTTGGAGACTTTTTTTTTTTTAAACCTAAGAATGTATGTTTAGGTGAGGTGGTGTATGTGGAATAAATAGCCTTGAATTATTTGTGGTGTTTGTCAAACTTCTTAATGAGCATATTGTACGTGTTCACGTAAATAATTCTGACTCTCCCACTGGACTGTGAGCTCCAGGTATGAGAGATGGGTCAGTTTTGCTTCTAGCTGTCTCCCCAGCACCTAAGCGTAATGTCTGACAGAACTGCTCAATAAATATCTTGTAGATTGAATGTCTGATACAATTGCTCAATAAATATCTGTGGAAGTGAATTGACTTGTCCAGGGTCACACAGACCAATGTTCCCATTTATATCCACTTGATTTAGAAGTTCATGCTATCACTTCTGCACAATCCTGCCTCTTGGAAAAACCCAAAAGAAAGATGTCTCCACACTGAGGATCATGGGCCCAGGAGCTTCCACACCTTTGGACTCTTTTAGAGTTAGATGTTGGTAGAGATGTGATGATGGGGGTGAGCGCCTACTAAGTTAGGCCACTATCCATCATAATACCTTTTGGACACCGCACATTATAATCTTGACAGACCTGAGCCTGGCTCGTGGGGTATTTATAGGAGGTCTTGAGGTATAAAGTGCAGGCCCTAGGGTTTTGCCGTGGAACAGGCTAAGTTCTCATCTCATTTCTGCTCCCTGACCTTGAGCTGCGAGTGGCCCTCCCTGAGCCTCCTTCTTCCTGCACCATGTGGATAAATAAGCTTCACTTAGGGGATTATTGGTTGAAAGGATATCATCACTGGAAGTGGCTGCCCAGTAATTGTGGATTTTTTGGAAGCCTACCAGCCAGAAGAGAACTGTTGATGTTGAGAACAGCCTTATCAGTATCTCCCAGGCTTGAGGCCAAGGGGCCCATCTTTCAGGCCTTTGCTGCTTTCAAGTGGGTATTAATAGATACAGAAGGACCTTATCTCTTCCTTGAATTCACACTGGGAATTCTGGTCTTCCCTCCTTTCTGCTGCAGCATGACAGGAGGGATTGTGGGAAGAAGGGCACCTGATTCTACCTGGGAGGTTGGGTACTTGAATACTTTGGGGAGAGCAGGGCTTTGGTAAACCTCTAGCTTTGACCTCACCAAGCATGAATGATAGCCTTTCATCTGCTAGGTAAGCTCATGCCCTTTGGGCCTCAGCTTGTCCATCATGAAATGGGGCAATAACAACATCTGTCTTCCTTCTCCAGCAACCAGTACAGTGCTTGGTGTATGACAAGTGCTCAATAACTGTTTGTTGAGTGACTATTGGGTATGAGAGGACTTTACAAAGAGAATGTTGCTGTTATTGAGACCCTTTGGGAAGATATGGAGAAAAGAAACTCCCATCTGGAATGGGACTGTTGCTGATTTCTCTTACCCTCTGTCAGAGTCTGGCTTGGTTATTTCAAATGAGACCTACCATTCTAATAATGGTGGCTTATCTGGGGAGAAGGAACAGGATGATCCCATGGCTGGCAATCCAGCATAGGCCAGATTCTATCACTGGCTGGCATCACAGGTCTCTACTCCCGAATGGGCCTCAGTTTTCCCATCTCTACAGCAAGAGGCTTGTGCAGTCTCTATGGTCCCTTCCAATGCTGACACAATCTAAGATTTACAATGAGCAATTTCAAAAACTGCTTAGGAAACTCCTGCTGCTTACCTAAACCACCTCATCGTTTATAAAACACGTTCAGCTCCCTTATGCTTCTTATCCTCATGGCAAGCCTGGGAGAGGCCAAGGTAAAGTGCCCATTTTACAGATGAGGAAACTGGAGCTGAGAATTGTCCTCAAGGGGCTATAACTTGAGGCTGCACCACACATTTTGGTTATACAGGTATACTATTTGTTCTCAAATGTGAACCTGCATAAAAATCACCTGGAATTGAGGGGTGGGGTGGGTAGGGTAGTCCTTGTGAAAATGTAGATTCCTGGGCACTTAAGAGACTCTAAATTGGCAAGGCTGGGGTGGGCCCAAAGGTAACAAGTGCCCAGGTAATTCCGAAGCCTG